CAAAAACCCTAGCAAAAACCGGCCCCGCCACAGAGGGCCTCCCCAGTAGGTGCAGAGGCGTGGCGGACCAGAGAGCTAGCTCCGGGATGCCTCAGCTCTACAGGCATCTACACGCTTGTTCTCCCAAAGCACTTTGTAGCCATAGGAGCGCACGCTTGTGACAGTTGTCGACTTTGCTTGACAGTGTTGACCTCCGTAACACCATGATTGAAGAAATTCCGGAATTCACTTTTGGCCACTGCACTGGCCTTCGGGAAGTCTTTCTACCGACAACTCTCCATACAATCCGAGTTAAAGCCTTTATGAGCTGTGCCGCCCTTGTTGAGCTTGCCATTCCGCCTGCTCTCAAGTATATTGGAAGTGGGGCTTTCTTGGACTGCACTGCCCTTCGGAGGCTGGTCAAAATGCCCGGAACACGCAGATGGCGAGGGGTTTATGCTGAAGAAAATGCTTTTGCCATCTGTCCGGCCATGAAATGGCCACCCTGGCTGCACATGATCCCAGACATGGGCCACACCCCTGGTTTAGGATAGAGGATCATCCCTCCATCCACAGCTGTCGTGGCCCTGCTATCATTTTTGTTAGGGTCTGGGTGCGAGCCTTAGCTCGGGTCCGGAGCAGGCCAGCAATTGCGAAACAGTGCTCCTCAACACGAGTCACTAACCATAGTTGCCCTCCGTTATACATGGAGTAAGTGCCCAGAGGCTGTCGGATAGAGAAGGGTCTCGGCACCATAGCATTCGATGACCCAAAACGCAAACGACCTTTGGCGACACAAACTGTCTAGACCCAGCCTCAACGAAGCAATGCTTCAGAGGCAGGAGAGAAGCAAGTGCGACGTGAGCAGTGAGTTGAGCCAAGTGCCAGTTTTTGAGCATTCGAAAAGGAGGATTTCCAGGCATATATGGCAAGCAAAATGCACAGACACGAAGTTGAACCATGACCTCTTCTCGCCATCCGCTGCGAAGTGAGCCGATAGGAGCGAGAACCTTAGTTCTGCGTTCCTACACGGCGGGTGGTAGATAGTGGCAATGAAGGATGCCCAGGGGGAACCTTAGTTCCCGCTGTTGATGTCCGACATTTCCAATTTTGTACAAAGAGGTACAGATATCATGCTAGGAGAGCTCAATGTTTCACAGGTTTCACACGGACCTTGCACGCACCTCTCACCTTTTGCCATTGCACAGCGCCGCACAGACTCAAGTGACATCCCCTTTTGGCACCGTTGAGTGCCGAAGGGTGTTGGGTCTGCCTCCCCACGGGGAGGTGGTGCCCGATTCACCCTTAGCTGCAGGCTTCTCTCGCTAGGAATTGCCGCCGTAATTGAATTCTGTCTGGCAGCATGTGACTGGCCTTGTATGCGCCACCGGTTGAACGGGTTGTGCTACAAGTATGGTCTTTTCCATGGATTGCTGCTTAGATCTTTGCACATTCGGTTGGCCTGATTACAACCACTGCTGGAGCATTGCGAGACACCTGACCTGCAAAGTGACCTTGTTTTGCCACACTGTGGTGTGGCCGCTGGTCACCAACACTTGGTAAGGAAAGTCCGTTTGAAGCCTTCTAGGCGGCTTTCCATGAACACAGCTTGCGCTGCAGTCCTCTTCTTTTGCGAATTCAGGCCCACTAGTTGTCACTAGTCTCAGTTTCACACGTTTCACCTAGTGTATAGGGAAGACTACAAGATGGTGGAGTCGGCCTGCGGGCTTGGGTGTTTAGTTTTGGGTTGGTTTTTGGGGTCTTCGTTCCTTTCTCCACCATCTGTTTTTTTTCCCTTCCTTCAACGATGACCTGGGCACCATGCCCACACGGCGTCCGTACTCGTGGAAAAAAAGAGGTGCGAGTGCGAGTAATGATAGATCAACACACAGCGAAGGACAAGTGCACTTGACAAAAGGGGGCAACCGGTCAAGACCAGGCAGCGCCGAGAGCTGTCGACAGATACCAGTGACCGAAGGGAAGAAGACTCTCCAGACCAGCAGTGTGTTCGCAGCTGGAATGGTGGATAAGCACCATGCCAGCAAGTTACGGCAAGTGAGATGCGCAAACACCAAGTAGGATCATCGATCCCCCACCACAGTGCGGCAAAACGATGGTCACGATGCAGGTCAGGAGTGCGTCCGTACTCGTGGAAAAAAAAAGAACTTCAGTTCTCCTTGTTGATGTCCGACATTTCCAATTTGTACAAAGAACTACAGATACCATGCTAGGACAGTCCAACGTTTCACCTGTTTCACACCGGCCTTGCATGCAGCTGACCACTTTTTGCAATGACGCAGCACTTCACGGACTCAGAAGACACCCCGTTTTGGCACCTTTGTGTGCCGAAGGGCGCTGAGTTGACCTTCCTTCGGGGGCAGGCTTTCGTCGTTTGCTATGGCCGCTTCTGTTTGATCACCGCCTGGAACATGCCTCTGGACTTGTAAGTGCAATCAGTTGCATGGGTTGTGCTACAAGAAAGGTTTTTTCCACGGCATGCAGCATGGCCACCGCTACTCCATTTTGACATGGATACAACCGGCGTTGAAGCATTGTGATCCGTGTGGGCATGGTGCCCAGGTCATCGTTGAAGGAAGGGAAGAACAGACAGATGGTGGAGAAAGGAACAAAGACCCCAAAACCAACCCAAACCAAACACCCAAGCCCGCAGGCCGAAACTCCACCATCTTGTAGTCTTTCCTCTACACTGGGTGAAACGTGTGAAACGGAGACTAGTGGCAATTAATGGGCCTGAATTCTCAAGAGAAAAGGACGGCAGCGCAAACTGTGTTCATGGAAAGCCGCCTAGGAGGCTTCAAACGGACTTTCCTTACCGATTATTGGTGACCAGCGGCCACACCACAGTGTCAAAACAAGGTCACCTTGCAGGTCAGGTGTCTCGCGATGCTCCAGCGCTGGTTGTAATCCGGTCGACCAAGAGTGACAAGATCTGAGCAGCAATCCGTGGAAAAGAAGGGGAACTGAAGTTCTCCCTGGGTATCCTCCATTGCCACTCTCTACCACCGGCCTCTTAGGAACGAGGAGCCAAGGCTCTCATTCCTGTTGGCTCACTCCATTGCGAATCGCGAAAGGCCGCTGGTCA